AGCCAACTCAGCAGAGGGCGCAGCTGGGGGGGGGGTGCTTTCAGCTGCTGCATTTCCATTTGTAGAAAAGTTGGAAGGCGATTCTGGGCTTGGGTCAGGCCTCCTGAGAGCCTCATAATCTTAGCATGCCCATTGGTTGTGAAGGAGCAGTAGCTAGCAGCTCAGTGAGGAGCAGGCAGACACCCTGCCCTGGACTCCTGACTGTGCTACCTATGCAGTGACAGTGGGAGCCTGGCTTGCCCTGGCCTGTGGCCACTCAGGAGGATGTCATCATCATCACCTCTGCCCCCTACCTCTGTCTGAGGAGCAGCCCAGCCACAGCCCTGGGAGGGTGACCAGCCCTGCCCTCTGACCTGCAACTTGCGCCTTCACCCAGTGTCCTGGGTGCTATGAGTGACTCGGACTCAGGGCTGCTCTCAAAGCTAGTGGCAAGCATATGGGGGTTTTTGGTGTCTGCTGGGCCCCAGCACCTGTGGCTCTGGCATGGGCCTCCCATGCTACTTGGCCCCATCTCGACCTTGTTATGGGTACTCGGCTCCTGCTGAGCATCCATCTCCATGCCAGGCTAGGTGCCAGGGGAGTGCAGCAGCCAGGAGCACAAGCCAGGGCCCTTCCTGCCCTGGACCTGGCTCTTATGGGGACGATGATGTAGAGAGTGGCTAGACTGCCTCATTCACAGGTCCTGGTTCTCTTGGCTCAGAGAGCACCTCAGGGACCTGGCACTATTCTTCACCCTGGCCACCCGGGCTTCCTGTGACCATATGAGAAAAGGCTATTCCATGGGGCAGGGTCGCATGTGCTGCTGTCCATGGTGCTGACCCGCACCTGTTCCTGTGGGCTGAGTGGCCTTGCAGGGCTTGTGGTAGGGCTCTAGGCTCTCATCTGTGGACATGGAGCAGCCTGGAGGTGGCCCCCATGGCCCGTTCCCTGCCTGCCCTCTCTGGGCTCTTACTGGCCTCTCTTTGGAGATGCAGGGGCAGGCTTCTGAGAGACTGAGAGCCTCATTTTGCTGATGGCTCTGAACAGAGGACCCAGTGAGGTTTGTCTGAGCACCCATTCACAGAGCCTCCATGACTGCTGGGTGGCAGATAGACTGGCACCTCTACTTTTGAGTGAATCCGGACTTTCTGTGAGACCTGAAGACTTAGCCTAAGTACCCTGCCTTCAAGGTGCATTAGCTCTGTCTGGCCACTGCATCAGTCTATTTGTGTGTGACAGAATGCCACAGACGGGGTGATTTATAAGGAAGGGAAGTTTATTCCTTGCAATTCTGGAGGCTGAAAATCTGAGATCAAGATGCCAACCCCTGGCTTTCTTGCTGCATCGTCCTGTGGCAGAGGTGGAAAGGCAAGAGAGGGTCAGAATGAGACACAGAGGGGGCCAAGCTCACTGTTATAACGACCCACTCACACTAACAAACCCACCCCAATGATTACAGTATTAACCCATTTGTGAAGGCAGAACCCTCATGGCCCAATCCTCTCTTAATGATCCCAACTCTGGATACTTTTGCAGTGACGACTGAATTTCAATGCGAGTTTTAGAGGGAAGGTTCATACCATAGCACCTGCCTCCAGCCACATCATCAGTGTAGGGTCAAGGCTGAGCCCTGGCCGAGCTACAGCTCAGCCCGCAGCTGGGTCCCTTCAACAAGTGGGGCTGAGCTGGAGGGCTGAGCTGTAGCTGTGGCTTCCACACAGGTCATGTGCTCACCTTGTCTCACCTCTTCCTGTCTCAGGCTCCCTTGTTCTCAAAGAATGAAAGCTCCCATCTTTAGAACTCAAGGGTCTCAGGCAGCCCCTTCTACATTGGCCTTTCTTGTCCCCACCTCTCCTGTAGCATCTCAGGCTTCCTCTGCACTGCCCAGCCTCTAGCTGCTAAGAGTCCTTGTCCTCCAGGTCTGTCCCCAGGTCTGGGGCAGGGCAGAACCAGGTCACACAGGGCCTTGGGCCTTGGCATTTCCAGGATATGACACCACAGTAGATGCTCCTTGGGCCAATGGATGCACAGAGAAGGCTGTAACAGGTTCACTGGGGTCCTGGCGGGTTTTCTCCTTGTAGCCTTGACCCCTGCGCAGCCTTGCCCTTGAGGTAGCCTTGAGGATTCCTGGAGGTGTTTTATAAGCCCCTTCTGCCTGTGAAAGGAGGACAGCAGCCAAGACTTACTTCTAATGCAGAGACCTGAACCAGGACACTCCTGGGCCCCCGGGGCTGCATGCATTTCTAATCAGTGGGTAGCCAATTAGGTGTCATTGACGCCAGAGTGGGGTGACTTGCAGGGCTTGGTGGCCAGTCAACCTTGAAAGGCATGGAGGAGGGCAGAGTGGGTCAGAGCTATTTTCAAAAGGTCACTCCATGTCTTCTTGGTGGAAGAAAGCAAGCTGGAGTCCAGTGCGCTGCAGCCATGTGTGTCTGGAGGAACCATCTGAGGCTGTGACAGGGGCAGTGGCGGAGGAAGAGAGGATGGGTTTGCAATTCAGGCTTGACTGAGGAGCAGGGTGTGACTCCAAGACCCTCATGGATGCAACTTGGAGGATTCAGACACAGATGGTGACCCGACACCTTGCATTGCAGGAAGCAGACACGGATGACCACCAGGGAACTCTGGGCTTTGAGGAGTTTTGCGCCTTCTACAAGATGATGTCTACCCGCCGGGACCTCTACCTGCTCATGCTGACCTACAGCAACCACAAGGACCACTTGGATGCTGCCGACCTGCAGCGCTTTCTGGAGGTGGAGCAGAAAGTGAGCTTGGGCAGGAGCAATGGGCCTGCCAAAATGGTCTCATCTTCGCTCTGGTTCACTTTGTGCAAATTGGCTTCGGTTCCCCCATTCCCTGGGGACTGACAGGTGGGGAATGCTTGTGGTTTCTCTTCTGAGGACCTCTGAATGGCTCAGTCCTGACCAAGAACACCTTGAGCCTGCAGAGGGGTGCCCCCAGCTTGACTGTGGCAATAGCTCTGGTGTTGAACATCTGATGGACTAGGGCTCTGTGGCTCAGCCTTTAAGAACTGCCCCCTGGGACCAGCAGATGGTGTAATGGTTGCATTGCTGGACTCCCATGTAGTAGACGGTGGTTTGAGTCCCAGGCCCAGCAACTTAAAACTCATGCTGAGGGTGTGTGTGTGTGTGCATGTGCTCAAGATCCTGAGAAGAGAGTGGAGGACAAGGGATTGCAGAGTGGCCATCCCCATGGGGAGTAATTTCTCACTTTCTGTCTCTCTCGGTCTCTCTGGTGAGTGCATGTGCCCTACAGCAAAAATCTCTCTCTTAAAAACAAAACAAAACAAAAACAAAACCCTGCCCCTTACTTGTTGCATTGCAGCCACATGAGTCTGGCTGGCTTGCTTCCCCAGGGCCTGCAGACACCTCCCACCTCTACCCACCCACTTGTCTAGCAAACACCCAGCTGTCTCCTGGTGCCTAGCAGTGTGTGTCCACCCCTTTTCTTTGGCACTAAGAAGCCTCGTCCACCCTCACAGGCTGATGCCAAGACCAAGTGCTCCATGGATACTGCCCTGCTGAGAATCTTGTGTCCAGAGGTTCAGGGGCTCTGGGGCTCTTATCTCAGGCTTGGTCAGTGACTGGGTACCACCTGCTCTGGATATGGAGGTCCAGCCAGGCAGGGGACAGAAGGGATAGAGCCCTCCTGAAGAGAATGCTCCATGGGAAAGACTGGCTGGGTGGGGAGCTGGTGAGGACCTCCACTTTCCTGGAGCCCTTTAGAATCCCTTTAGGGAGGAAGAAGAGACAGGGACAAGCTTTGGGGCCCAGATACCCTGGCCTGGAAACAGCTGTGGTCAACCAGCCTGAGCTGGGTGGTGGGAATAGCAGGAAGCGGATACAGCTTTAGGGATCCCAGGCTGGGCTTACGTGGGTTTTAGCCAGGATCTGTCTTTGCACCCCACCCAGCACCTTGAGTACCAGACCGAGGGCTGGCCTTAGGAGCTGCCTCTGGACCTGCACTCCTAGGGTTCTCTCCCTGTCCTTCTGCCACAGTTTGTCCTGTGGTCACACCTTTGCCTCCTCTCTGCCTGCTGCATGAAGCCCTGGAGGTCTTGACCAGGCAGGAGAGGAGGCACAGCCCGCTGGATATGCAGCCCTGTGTGACTCTGTCCCCAGCCCAGTCACTGTAGGCAGCATTGGTATGAAGCTGTGGGGGATGTGGCTCAGGACAGTGGGTCCTCTGTGCTGGCCAGTGCTGGCATACATGGACTCGGAGGGCAGGAATGTGATTGGGAGGGAGATGAGCAGAACTGACCCTTCCCTCCTTGACCTTTGTCCCAGCTTTCCAGATCCTCTCCTTGTGGTCTGGGACCAAAACAGTGTCCCTTGAGCAGGTGATTTGCACCCTTGGCCTGGACTCCAACCTCATTTTCCTACCTCTGCCCACCTCATTCCCTTGATCCTGGGGATTCTCATTGCCTAGGGCCACCCTGGGCTGGGTGAGGCTCAGTGGTCAGTTCTCCTGTGAGGGTCACTGAACAGGGGCTTAGGCAGACAAAGAGAGGGCCAGGGAAGGGGGCGCTCTGTGCCCACAGGGCTCCTCCAAAGTAGGATATGGTCCTTACTCCCTGGCTCCTCCTCACATGAGGGCCTCCACTGTATGCCCAGCCCACCCTGGCCCCAGCTCTCAGGACCTTTAACACGGCAGTCAGGAACCATTCAGTCGATGAGGCAGGATCCCTCCCTGCTGTTAGAATCCTTAGAGCAAGCTACTCGTTGACTCACTTGTGATTTGGCCAATCCCTGAGTCCAGTCATGTGATATGGCAAGTGGCCAGTGCCTGGCCTCAAACATTGCCCCTCTGGTCAGCCCTGAGTGGCCACTGGAGATGGGGAAGGAGAAAGGGGGAGCTGCCTGAGGCTTGCCTGGACCTGGATGAGTTAGCCTGAGCTCCTGCCCTGCTCTGGTCTAGATGTTGGGCGTGACCCTCGAGAGCTGCCAGGACATCATCGAGCAGTTCGAGCCCTGCCCAGAGAACAGGAGTAAGGGGGTGCTGGGCATCGACGGTGAGTGGGGTCGCCCTTCGCCCAGTTGTCCTGGGAGCTGATGGGACACTATGGAGCACTACAGGCCTGGACAGGTGGCCTGAGCAGGTGGCTACATGTTCCATTGGGGGGTGAGTAGTTGTGAGATGAGGCCAGTGGTAGGCCTGGGCCCTGGGGCCTACAATTAGAGGCTGACGCTCTCCACACTCCTTGCTACCTCTGCAGGCTTCACCAACTACACACGGAGCCCGGCTGGTGACATCTTCAACCCCGAACACCATGGTGTGCACCAGGACATGACACGGCCCCTGAGCCATTACTTCATCACCTCGTCCCACAACACCTACCTCGTGGGTGACCAGCTCATGTCCCAGTCGCGGGTGGACATGTATGCCTGGGTCCTACAGGCTGGCTGCCGCTGTGTGGAAGGTAAGGGCTCATAGATTAGGGAGCTGGACCTTGGCCATGAATTGGGGTCTCCTAGGGGAAACGGGGTGGGTCCCAGGAGCCCACAGAGGGACTGAGAATACCTCTTCTGTGTCTATCACTGAGCAAGAAGCTGGATCACCTTCTGTTGGTGTCCATGGGCTCAGCCTGCCTGTGCTCTTGGTGGCTGAGCCCTGGGGCTGACAAGGGTCTGCCTGTCCACAGTGGACTGCTGGGATGGGCCTGACGGGGAGCCCATTGTACACCATGGTTACACCCTAACCTCCAAGATCCTCTTCAAAGATGTCATCGAAACCATCAACAAATACGCCTTTGTCAAGAACGAGTGAGTGGCCGGGCCTAGAGGCTCTTCCTGCTTATCCTCTGCATCCTTTATAGGGGGCAATCTTTGTGTCCTTTATAAGGGGCAATAGCTGTAGTGGCCAAGGGTTGGTTTTGTTTCAGGATCTCTCACTGAGGAGAGAGGGACAGGGGAGGGAGTGAGGCTGCAGGTTCGGGTGAAAAGAAGGTGGTGTGGGTGGGAGGGACAGCACGACTGGCTCAGGCTGCTCAGGGCACGTGTGCCAGCAACCCATCCACACACACTTGGTGGCAACCCCTGATGTCGGCCGCCCACAACAGCAACAGCTCCAGTGCTAATTACCTGAGAAGCCATTCTGTGTCCAGACTCAATTCACTGTCACTCAGCTGTGGCTATAGACACCGTTGAAGAAAATCCAATTTAGTTTCTGGAAATAGAAGACCGCCTCCCCACACTGTTAGAGTTACCTTCATATCTTGGCTAAACAAGACTCACAGGCAAGGAAGGAGCTAATTGAATGAAGGAGGGGAAGAGGAGCAAGAGCGACTTAGGAAATAGAAACAGAGGGCCCCTCCTGAAAAAGCTGGCCCACGCTTTGTCTTGAACTGTGGGAAGGACAGTGGCAGTGGGGCCTCTTCAGGGTAGATGGGCTTCTGGGATTAGCAGGTGGCAAGGGCATCGTAGGGCATGGGAGACTGGGACACACAGATCTCCTGTAGCTGCTGAGGAGATAGGAATCTGAAGGGATCTCAGAACAGGGTATGCAGGGTAATCTTTGCAGGCACAGCATTCTCCCTCAGGTTCTGGACTTTAGGCTTCAGTTTTGTGCCTCAGAAATGGAGAGATGAGTGTCTCTGCCACATGCTTGCCTGTCCAACATCACAAGACATGCTCCTTTCTTGCTCTAGTTTCATGCCTTCTTGATCTGGGTCATTTACATTTTCTGAAAGAACCATGGTTGCTTTTTGGTTAAAAAAACAAGCAAACAAACAAAAAAACAAAGTAAAATGTTCATATGGTTAAAAATAAATAAATAAATAAAGCTGAGGATTTCATAATGAAAAGTCCCATGCTGCACTGTGCAGGCAATAACCATGTTGTGCCAGATGGTGTGTGCCAGGCTTATGTCTCCTTCTTTAAGGGGCCAATATCAGGACCCTAGAGCCATCAACAGGACAGTGTTCCCAGTATCTAGGTCAAAGGGATTATATTTCTCACAGTCTGTCCATTGCTCCATATTGCACCTCAGTTTAATCCATGCCATATTTAAACTATGTGTTTTTAAAATGCTTTCTTTTGTTTTCCTGGAGTTTCTAATTGCCTTTGTTTTTTTCTTACTGGGGAAAACTCACATCTTCTTCACCTTTCACCTGTCCCTAAGATCTCCCAGTTCCTTTCTCATCCATTTAGTTACTTTTAAAAGTCATTGGTGAGCTACCTCTTGAAGCTGTTGGCAGCCCCATCTATCCTGGGCTCCTGGTGAAGACCCCTTATCAATGGTGCAAGTGACTTGGACTCCTACAGAGATGGTGCCTAGCCCTCCGCTGGATTTTTGGTTTCATCATACTCCTCCCATCTTGGACCTCAGGTACCCAGTGATTCTGTCCATTGAGAACCACTGCAGTGTAGCGCAGCAGAAGAAGATGGCCCAGTATCTCACTGACATCCTTGGAGACAAGCTGGACCTATCATCAGTGAGCAGTGAGGATGCTACCATGCTTCCTTCTCCACAGATGCTCAAGGGCAAGATCCTGGTGAAGGTTAGCCCCTGCCCCTTCTGGAACCAGTGTCACTCCAAGCTTTTGCTCCACACAGGTTGGGATATAATGTAATCTGAGGGCAGATTTGGGGTGATCAGGGAAGGCTTTGTCTCTGACCTGGCTTCAGGGTGGCCATTCAATCTTGGAAGCTCCACATTCACATTGAGGCATTTCTCTTCCATGCTGCTGCTGTGCAAAGAACTGACTCGTCTGGTCCCTGCCCTATTGCCTGAGATTCCAAAAGCAAGATTGAGAAAAGGCTCCTGCCCATTGCTTGCTGCTCCTGTAGATTCTGGGTACTGCTTCCCAGTATTCCCTCAGGGCCCTCCATTTGCTCATTTGTCCACCTTCTACAGGGGAAGAAGCTCCCAGCTAACATCAGTGAGGATGCAGAGGAGGGTGAGGTGTCTGATGAGGACAGTGCCGATGAGATTGATGATGACTGCAAGCTCCTCAATGGGGATGTGAGTTGGGGCTGTTGGCTTGCTCTGGGGACCTGGGGTTGGGGGAGCCTAAGCTTCTTGTTTTGCTGTCAGGGAGAGTTAGGCAGAGAGCCAGGAGGAAGAGGCACTGGGGCAGATGCTGAGGGTGCAAAGTTGCCTAGCCTTGGGGCCCCTCCCTGGCTTTCCCACTCTCCATGTGAGAGAAACACCCTGTGTTCTCAGCCAGCAGGCTGACCTCACACCTGTGGGTAGATTGTTCCAGTTCCCATTTCTGAGCCTACTTTGAGCACTGTCCATTCCCGCTGCCCAGTTCTCTTGTGCCTTCAGTAAGGGGGCAGCACTGGAGGATGGTTGCTCACCCCAGGTTCCACACCTTTCCCACCCACACCTGTGCTTGCAGGGCTCTGACCCGGAATATCCCAGCTTCCTGACCTCTTTCCTCCGAACTGCAGTTGGACCCTAGGTGGCCAGTGGTCCAGTCCAGCTACCCTCACGCCCAACACCAGCCCTATACTCCAAACAGCACCAACTCTAGGGTCGAGCCTCCAGTCCTGCAATGGCCACCTCCACAGAGCCCTGTCACCTCCTCCTCACTGCGTCTAGTTGAGCAGCCTGGGCTGGGGGCTGTGGGGAGAGACTGAGAAGTCATGGAGGGCTTCCCACAGCTGCGGGCTTGGGGATTCTGTAATTAGCATCTGTTCTCCTCTGGGTGCTGCTCTAAGCTGCTGCACAAGGCAGTGAAGGCTTTATTTCTCCCTGAGGGGCCATTGGACGGGAAAATAATTGTGCAGGAGCATTCCTGGCCATGTCAGGCTAATTGTTTTAGAAAAGCCTGAGACAGCGGAATTTTTCCCTGCTTCGGGCGTGCCTGCGCACTTCTCTGTCTGGCCCCAGGTGGTGGTAAACCTGCTTTCTGCGATGTCTACTTTGTGCCCACTTCAACCCAGGCATCAGCGGTATCAGATGCCCTAGGCCCCCCTTTGAAGGGTCCATGTTTATCAGGGCCATACTGGGTGCTGCTGGTGCAGGAAGGGTGCTGGACTCAGCCAGAGGCTACCCTGAAGCCTGACCCCTGCCCATTTCCTCAAGACATATGGCTGCCAGGAATGAGCCCCTGATCCTGTGCTGCCTGCAGGCACACTGACCTCCTTCCCTTAGGCCCACTGAGTCACCTGTGGGCCTCGTGGGCAGCATCATGCCTTGTGAAAGGGATGGGGTTGGGGGTGGGGGGCTGGCATCAAATCCTGTTTCTCGTTGTCTTAAGGCCCAGGCAGACCACACGCCTTCTGGGTGCCCAGGGATGGGCAGTGTGGGGCAATGCCCACTGGTCAGCCTCTGGCTCTTGCAGGCCTCTACCAATAGGAAGCGAGTAGAAAACATCGCTAAGCGGAAGCTGGATTCCTTAATCAAGGAGTCGAAGATCCGGGACTGTGAAGACCCCAATGACTTTACTGTCTCCACGCTGCCCTCATCTGGAAAACTCGGGCGCAAAACAGAGGCCAAAAAGGTGAGGGCCTTGATGCTGCTAGGTCTCCCTCCCAACAGCTGGCCCGCTCACACACGTCCCTCTGCCTACACATGCACCTGCGCACAAGCACACTCCTGCACGACATTCTGCACATGTGTACCTGCGAACATACCTGCACACCTACACAGCGTGCACACATGGACAACTCTGTACACACCCACATATGCACCTGCACACATGCACACCACTGCCTGAGGTCTCGAGGTCCCCCATCCACTTGTGTATGCTCCATCCTTGGGCCCTCACGGATGCTCAGCCTTTGTCTAGCCTTGATTTCCGTTGAGAAAAATCCAAAGCATTGATCCTGTCAGAGAACAGATAACCAGGGCTGGGCCATTTTGTGTGGCTGGATCTTGTCCCAACTGCTGTGCTCAGCTCTGACCTCTAGTAGCCTGTGGGCCAGAGTGGGTGGGCAGCCCCCAGGACATGCAGTTCCCCATGGAAGGGGATTTGCTCACTGTCCACTCTAATGAGGGTCTTGTGAGTGACAGGGTCTCAAAGCAGAGCCAGTCCTCAGGGGCTGTCCAGCTCGTAGAGTGTGGCTGCCCTCCCTGCGTAGAGCCACTCACAGATCTTAGGGAAGAACCCATGTGGAGGGAATGGCATTAAGGGGTGTCAGATAGCCTCATAGGGACTGTGGGCAGCAGCTCCAACACACAGAGAAGTGTGTTTTTGGGGGTATGTCAGTGGTCAGACCCAGCAATCAGGGCGCCTCCTTGGAGGAGGGGACTGCAAAACTGGAAGGACAGGCATATTGGCTGAGTGACCCAAGCAAAGGAAAGAACTATGGCAGGACCTAGCAAATCCTGCCGAGGCTTGGTGTGTGAGGCAGCTGCCCTGGGTGCAGAGTGGGGGTGTGGGCTGGCCCTGCAGACTCCATCCTCCCGCAGTGTGAGCAAGGCTGGAGGGCCCCAGGGTGGGGACAGCCATGTCCTGAGGCACCAGCTGAATCCATACCCTATTCTTTACATAGACCTTACCATTTTCCAGCCCTTGTTGGGGGCTGGAGGAAGCAGGAAGGTGTCTCTTCCTGACTGGGGTGAGGGTTGGGCTGTGCTCCCCACCAAGACCCGTATTTTTAGAAGCCAGTGTTTGTGTTTCTGCCCACGGGCTCAGAGCACTTGGCACAGCTGACACCGCGGGAGAGCTCGAGGAACGCTCTCCGTGCAGGTGGCTCTCGCAAGTCCCGTGCTGACAGCATGCCTTTATTTTTAGTCCTGAGCTGTCTAGGTGGGGAGAACTTGGTCTATCTGAGGCTCCCATGGGCAGCCAGGTGGGTCCTGGACTGAGTGTGGAGCTGCCCTGCCAGGTGGGAGTTGATGTTCAGTCTCTGCTTTCCTCGACTGCGCAACACCTGGGGTATACCTGGGGGAGCACAGGAGCACAGTGCGGCCCCTGGGACCATCTGTCTGAGCTGTTGCTAGGGGCTGGTGCTCATGGAAAGCTTCCTGGAGGAGGAGGAGCTCGGACTGAGCACCAAGGTGGAAGGAAGAGCAGGAACTCCCACCTTGATCTGTAGCACCAGGGCTTTCCCCTGCTGGGTGGTGACACAGCCCAGACGGGTCTGACAGACCTTTGGGGTGGGTGAGAGGGGCGTGCATAGTGAAGATGGCTGAGCCACTCCACAGGCAGGGTTGGAGGAGCACACTGAACCGCGGGGCTCACTGGTGGGGTGAACCAGGCAGAGGGGAGTGTATGTACAAGGGATCCTGGAGATGGCCAATCCCACCATGAGTCACTCCTCTGTCCCCCCGGGGAAGTGTCATGAACATTGTTCCCTCTGTATGTGAGCTCTGCAACACGAGGCCCTCTTCCTGTGGGACCAAACCGGAGGCTCTGGGGGGCAGAAGCTGGGTGGGCATGGAAGGGGACCCCCACCTGCTGTGCTGGGACAACTCCAGTGGTGCTGCTGCAGGTCAGTGGGTGCCTGTGCTCCCTCAGCTGGGGACCCTGCCCCTGCCCCCTTCCCCCTCCCAGATAGGCCCAAACTGGGACCTTCTCCACTGAGGACAGGGTCTAATGGGTCTAATGGCAGCTCTGTCCATGGGGAGGATCCTCAGAGGCTGTCCAGGCCACTTTGCTTCCTGTGCTTGCCCTGGGGTGGGCTATGTCCTGGGGCAGGAGGGGCGCAGGCCAGGGCCTTCTGCTGCCTCTGCCTGGCATGTGCTGGGTGTCAGTTGCTGCTTCTCATTGGCCAGCACGTGCTTCTCCTCAGTTAAGCCCAGATTTACAGTGGCTCGTCATTCGCTGAAACCACAGCGTTTCAGGAGATGTTTAAAGAGCTGTGAAGCGTGTCAGCCTCGAATGGGTCTGCACACACCACGAATAAGCTCCGGGGCCTCCCCTGGCGCGCTGCAGAATCATCAATATATCTGGAAGAAAACAGGCTGAAGCCTGGGGAGAATGAGACAAGTGTCTCTAAAGGCAGTCTGGCTGTGACGTCCCGAGCACCTCTTGTCATCATGAATCTGCGTCAGCTCTGGGTCAGCGCAGCCAGGTGGGAAAGTCCCCTAACCTGACTTCCCATGAGGACGAGGAGGGGACAGGGCACACATCTGGGCTGTAGTGCTGAGAGAGGGCCCCTGAACGGACCAGAACACAGGACAGCCGGCAGAAGCTCCCAGCCCTGTCTCCAGGACGGAAAGGGCCCTATCTGGCATAGAGCCTGCAGCCAGCACCACGGTCCCTCTCCCATCACGTCTGACGAGGTGCGCCCAGGTGACGGTGGTCCAGGCAGATGGGCCCAAGGATGCAGCCATGAGTTGTTCGCTGTGAGCTTGGTCAAGAGCATACGTTTCTGTGATTGTCAGATGCCCCCAGTGGGCTCTGTGGCCACTTAGAGCACCCGTGGATGTGTGCAGGGGTGGGCGGGGTGTTCGCAGTGGGGCGTGTACAGGAGTCCTTGATGAATGTGGGTGCAGCTGCCTGTGCTATGCCCGCCTCTGGTGGAAGACCTAAGTGGGACTGTGGTTGTTGGGACAGGGCACACCATATCTGGTAGAAGCCAGCCCCTACTTCGAGCAGGGAATGAGATTTGGCAGGGGGGCACCTCCTGCACCGAGCTGGGTTGAGTTTGGGGTCATCTGTAGAAAGAAGGGCTGGGGGGAAGTGGGCGGCAGCTGCAGCATCCCGAGATGCAAGCACACCCGCACAGCCTCCCGGCGGCTCTGTGTGAATGGGCTTTGGGATGAATGGCAGTGTGTGACTCACCCCTGGGTGGTGGTGGAGGGTGCTGCCAGACCAGGCCTGGGGCAAGGGCCAGGAGGGGCGCCCTGGATGTACTCATTTTATTCACAGCAGGTAGGAAGGCTTGTCTTGCTGCTTCCTGGGGTTTGCTGGCATGAAGGCCTTTGGGGAGTGTGGACCTGGTATTGTTTGTCTAATTAGACAATACCTTTGCACTGCAAGAAGAGTGCAGGACATCAGAGCTGCAGGCATCCTCATAGAAGGGTTACATAAGCAGGCGCAGCTGAGGAATATTCCAGACACACAAACTGCGTTTATTGTGTAGTCACCATCTGTGGGAAAAAAAATTCAGAACTGGGAACTTAATGAGTTTAAAACAACACATCATGAGAAGCTGATACGGGTGTGTGAGCGAACCTCCTGCTTTTCAGGCCTCTCCTGCCATGTGCCTCCAAGGCAGAACTGGGGCAGCAGCCAGTCGGTGGGGCTCAGCACCGGCCCCGACTCCCTGGCCTGGCCCTCCCCATCTTCTCTGCCTTCCTCTTGGAACTGGCTTAATTTCGCCTCTTCTAGGAAGGCCTCCTGGGGCCACTAGGGGGTGGGGGTGGGGGTGGGGTGTCCCGCCCTCACTGCCTGATTTGAGGCTGGGCTCATCCTGTCACTCTCTGTCTCTCCCTTGGCATCAGAGCAAGACGGAGGAGGACGTGGAGTCTGGGGAGGACGCGGGAGCCAGCAGACGGAACAGCCGCCTCCTAATGAGCAGCTTCTCCAAGCGCAAGGTCCAGCAGGGCTCCTGGCCTAGGGGGCCCTATCTGGGAGGGCCCAGTCTGAGCCCACCGTCCTCCTAGCCCTCTGTGCACCAGCCAGGGGAGGGTTTCTGTAGGCCCTCGGAGCCCCTGCCTGGCTCCCAGACTCTTCCCTTGAGTCTTAGGCTATGTCGTCTGGCTACAGGTGGAGCTGTGTCTGGGGTCAGGGTCTCAGGGTCGAGGCTTGTCTGGAACAGGTGCCTGATGGTGCTCTGGCCCCTGCCCTGTGCTGGCCCAAGCTGGCCAGGATCCTGGAGCTGTCCCAACAGTCCGTGGAGGCCCAGGCCAGGCAGGGCACTGCAGAGGCTTCAGCAGGCCCAGCAGGGCAAGGTGGCCCTGAGAGGACGAATGGGCTGAAGACCCAGGAGGGCAGGGCCCTCCCCACATCCTCTGACCTCTGCCAATGGCCTGGCTTGAGTGGGGGTCGGGGGCTCCGCAGGTCACAACTCTGCTCTCCTGCACAGAAAAAGGGCAGCAAGCTAAAGAAGGTGGCCAGCGTGGAGGAGGGGGACGAGGACCTGGATTCCCCAGGAAGCCAGAGCCGAGGGTCAGTGCCTTGCCCCCACTGGGAGGAAAGGCCCTGCACAGGCCTGAGGGGCTCGCTGACTGTGGCCCCCACACTATTCTCTAAGGGTGATTCTGTGTGGGAGGGGTAAGGGTTCCACCCCTAGGCCCACCCTGGGCCCCCTCTCTGCACCCTGTGGGAGACAATGGGGAGTAAAGCAATTGTCTACACAACAACAGAAGTGGAGTGCACGGACCAGTGCGGTGGCTCTGGATGGCTGGTGCTCAGGCCCTGGGCAGGGGGCTGGGCAGAGCAGTGTCATCCCTCAGGGATCCCCAGGGTTGGAGTCTGGGGGTCTTGCCTTCTCCTCTTACCAAACCCCGCCCCCTACCCTCACATCCTTCTGCTGGGCCTCAGTGTCCCCCAACCCTCGTTCCCTGCCAAGAGCACTTGGCACATCGTAGTCCAGGCCACATTGGGTTTGGGCCCAGGCCCTGAACATCTAGCTGCTTGTCCCGGGTCTCACTGGGGTCTCCAGCATGGAGCTCCTACCCCACCCTGACTCAGGACCCCCTATGCCCCCGCCTCCCTTCTTTCCCACCCTAACCATACCCTAACCCATCTCTCCCCTCCCTCAACAGCTCCTGAGTGTCCCTCCCATCGTCACAATGACCTCTTCTCCCCTCTCCTCCCATGTCCTCTGCCCTCAGTCTACATATAGGACTCCCACTTGTCACTGCTGCCTGGATGACCCAGTGCCCCTCTTGCTGGTCCCACTTCTCCATGACAGAAATCCTCAATTCAATCCAGACGCTGGCCCTAGTCTCTCCCCTGTCAGAACCTTCTGGAAGCTTTCATCTTCCAGAGCACCTCCCCACCCCATGACGCCTAAGCTGTGTGGGCCCCCTGGCCTTCCTCCCACACAGCGTGCAAGTGTCGGGGACTTCATGTCTGTGGGGAGCTCTGAGCTGGCCTGCATGCACCTGGCACTGCAGTCTGCAGCTGCTTGCACAGGCTAGGGGGTCTCAAGTGGGTCTAGCACTTCCCAGACCCCGAGCCTCTCATTGTGTGCATCCCACATCCGGACATCTGGAATACTCGGTACCATGGACACCTGATGGACCAGCCATGTGAATGAGCAGGACCACCCGGGTCTGCTAGCCTGTCTCGTAAATGGGCAGGGCTTGGTCTCAGAGTCCTGACCACCCTCTGCTGCCTACCCTGCAGGACCACTCGGCAGAAGAAGACCATGAAGCTGTCGCGGGCCCTCTCAGACCTCGTGAAGTACACCAAATCTGTTGGCATCCATGACGTGGAGACGGAGGGTGAGGGGCCGGGGCTCGGGGGCCACGGGCGGGGAGCCCCTCTGAAGCCTGACCCCGGGCGGTCTGGGAGCGCTGCCCTGCC